CCGGGAATTTAATTGCAACGCCCTGCGAAGCGGTACGACATCTATAGAGAAGAGAGAACCATGACGAGTTCGGATTTCATTGGTGGAGTAATGGAAATATTTTAGATTGGTTTGATTAGGGATAGAATAAATAATGATTTTATTATTATTATTTTTATTATTTAGAGCTGAATCATTTTAAAGCCTGTGCTGATACTTTTTGCGGTTACATTTTTTTTCTTACAAAATAATATTTGTGACACATTGACTTTTGTTTTTCTAAACCTTGTGACTTAATAAACTGGTTTTCACATTGAGAAAAATAAATAATAAATAATTTTAAAATCTTATAACTTGTGCGGTATTGACATTTTTTTCTTTTTTCAAATAAAGGTTTTGCAAAGTTGTATTTACTGATGCCCTTAATTTGAATGAAGTAAATATTTCCGTTTTAGTTTTCGCGGCCTAATAACATTCACTAAGTGATAACCGATTAACTCATAAACGTTTTCCTATTTCGGATAGAAATGTTGGAAACCAATTTTCAGATGATGATTTTTTTGATGATTTAGTTTTGAGAGTCTGTTAATTAGGTTTAAATATTATTCTTACGTCGAAAAGTAAGATATACATTATATTTTAAAACTGTAATAATAATCACGCAATAAACATTCTGCAAACCGTAAGAAATATCATACAAATGTTGCACTTTTTTCGATTCTTTTACACGTAACCCGTATCTTCTTTTTTAACTGAGCTAAGCTTAACTAAATATTGGCAATGTTAAGCAAGGTCAGCCACCTGTTTCTCAAAACTGCCGATCCCTTCGCAAAGATTCGCAAACAACCCTGATAATGTAAGCAAAACAGGAAGTTCCTTCAGGCAGATCTTCTCAAGCGTTTTTAACTGATGAATTCAATATCCTAATCCTTAACTGTTCCACTGGGAAACCCACTCTCAAGGGTTTTCTTTCTCCATTCGCCGGGGCGTCCCTCAAAGCGGTCATTGTCTCCGGACGAATAAAAAAAGCAATTCCAATTACAAGCCAACAAAACACAACAAACGAAATTTTTCGCAACCGGCAGCTGGCGGAAAATAAAAAAAATAATGTACGGGTATCTACAAAAGAATCGCTGCCCATGACTCATGTGACTGTGACCCAATGAGCAATAAGCGCCCAGCACCCACAAGATACAGATACTCGGGCGTACACGTCTTTGGCAACCCAAGACAAGCGTCGCGATTACAAAGAAAAATAATTTGCGCAAATGGTAACGAAAGAGAATCGAGAACGATCAGTCATCGTAGGGAAATGTTGCCCCAACTCCGTCGCCGTTCACTCAACTAATCTAATCAAATCAAATCAATGCCGGCAGGACCGCCCCTCATATACGGTTACGGATCCCTAAAGTACACCAAACAGATCCCTACACTTGCAAAATAGTTCTACCAATATTCGGAATTTGGAAAATAAGACAGTAAAATAGAAACAAATAATTGATTTGAAATTGGCAAGGAAATAGTATAGTATAATATTTAAATATAAGTTGAAAAATCGTATGGCAGCCTGCAGTTTGAGCCCTATATTTTAGCTAACCATGAATATGATAATTTGGACCTTAATATATATTCAAACGCGTTAAATATGAATACAAATTCATAAATGTTGAAACTGTAAATATCTGGCATATTGTGACACTGGCTATTGGTAAGTTTCTTGATTTTCATATTCTGCGCTTCAATTTTTAGTTATTCTTAAAATATATATAAATATATTCATTAATGCTATAACAAACCTATAGGTTTAAGACATTTCTCAGCATTGCACACAATGTTGCCAGCCGATCCTGCAACATATTGTGCAATCCCTGGGTCTAAGCCAATTCTTTCTATACCCAGGCACTTCCTGGCTTACACCAACTGGCCTGATCGATTGATCAGGCGATAAAGAAAATCATAAAACGAGAGAAAGAAAGAAAGGTACAAGGCAGGAACAAACAATTGAGCGAGGATTGTAACAAAATCCTAGCCAAAGATATCGCGGCAGCAGCACCAACCAATCTGTTTACCTGGGGAATCAGGATGAGGACGATCTCGAGGAGAGGAGTGGAGAGGGGAGGTGAGGTGAGGACCGAAAGACGATGTTTGCACGGTCAACTTTCAACACAATTTGTAGGCTACCTGCAGTTTGCTCAGACGGAGGCTTGGGTGTGGGTTTTCCTGGGAACGGAGCACCGGGAAAGGGAGAGATCCATCTCAAGCCGAACCATCCCATGCCATCCCATCCAGGCCAAACAAGCTGCTTGGCTAACTGGCTGACTGATACGCATCGCCTGGGATGTGTTTGGTTAATCAGCACCTGTCGACTCAACGGGCGTCGACAGGTACAACTACAACTCGCACGGAGCGCCTTATATACAGTTGCGATCGAAATAATAGCACTGCAAATCAAGGGTTTAGTTACATCTGGAGGGGTTTTATTTGTCAGTTTGAGTGGTTATTTTTAAGATAATAACATAGTAAGGTTGCAGCTTGAGTGCCTCAAAATTAATTGCACATGAAATAAGCACAACGTTTGCCACAATTTGTTCAACTTTCATTTGAAGAAAATTTGGAACGAAATTGTCTTAAGTTAGGTTGGCTTGTATTTCTTATTGGTAGTAGGGAGTTTGCCCAGCAAAGTCTGGATAGGTTTCCGATATAGATTTTATTTAATACTTTCTAGTAAACACCATATATTGTAATTATTTTTTAGCAATACAATATATATGTAGAAATATATTAGTTGTAAAAAATTGAATTTTTTTATTTTATTTATTTGATTGCCATGTCAATTCATTTAGTAAAACTTGATATTAAAATGATATATATTTTATAAATTTTGCATTTTGTTAATTTAATTAGTTTATTTTGTCCAATTTGAAAAAAAATAAAATGTTTTAAATATGTATTGATATATACTGATTAAATGTTACAGTGTCACAATTCCTCAATACAAAGAATAAATAATTCAGCTTTGTAAGTTGAACAATGTTTTCTTTTATTAAAGAACATATGAAGTGTTTATTCTTCCGAACCCAGCTGTTTGTGTGTTCTATATAATCCAGTAGCGATCTGTTTTGTCCGTTTTAGTGTTTTTGGGAAAGTTTGAAAGTGCGGTTACAACATATGGGCAGCCAGATCATGCGAAAAAAATATCAGATTCGGACTCGGACTCGGACCCCGTCGAACTTTAAGTCGGCTCCATCTGCGGCTCAGCCACCTCATAATGAGTAAGCCCCGAGTTCGAGATCTCCCCGACAAATCTCGATTGCCAGCCGGTCCGGTCTGGTCCAAAAGAAATACCAACAGTCCAATCCCAATCCCAATCCCACCAACTGCTGCGGCCGCTCTCATAAATCAAGAAAAATCAGTCAATTTTTTGTGGGCTCGCGTGTGTGAGTGTGCGCCTATATCAAACTGACATTGGCTGAATTAACAATTGATTTCAATAATTTTTTATGATTATTCTCCGCTTTTTTTGTCTCGTTTTCGGTTTTTGTGGCTGTCTGCAAGAAAAAGCCGAAGATCAGCCACTTGCACTCGATTCCGTCGATTCAGCAGATCGCTTCGCTCTCATTCTCTCTTTCTCTGGATATGCAGTGGATATATCTCATCTGCTGAATACGGAAAACCACTCAATTTTCAGAGAGCACAGCTCTCGGCTGGGTTTCCGTGGAGTAAAACTCGTCTAACCGGTGTGACGAGTGTCAATGTCTCATTGGAATTGGAATTGTTTGCTCGGCTTTGACGCTCAGCTGAACCGACAGGCGGGAAACGAAACGGGGGGGAGGAGGCCCACGGTGCCGCACAGTGGGCCCAAACGGCAAGGTGCTAGCTGTGGGTGCGAGCCCACTGAGTTTTTGTTTAAAGATCAAGGTTGCTGGCGTGACAAATAATTGAGGTGTGGACTAATTTGAATTGTATTCAAAACTTTAGCACCGGAAGTCCTGCGTTGTTCGTCCTTGTTAAATTACCAATTTTATCTGTGTCTGAAAAGATTAAATCAATTTACATACCAGTTAAATCGATATCGCTTTAATAATAACGCAAATTTCGAATATTTGGAGACCTTTTTGTTAAGATAAGTCAATTTCTTTCTATTTAAATTAAACAACAGGAGCTTTGCCATTGTGAGTTGCCATACTTCTGTGGTTCTTGGAACATATAGAGTTCTGTCGCTTAAGCTTATTTAGTGTTTGAAAGTTAAGCTTATATTAAAATTGATTTACTTAATCCCTAAGTCTTAAATAACTTTAATATCAGTTTATCATATGCCCATCAGTGTAAACATAAGTTTTTAACGGAAGTTAAACATGCTTACAAATAAGAAAAAAAGATTTGTAAGGGGCCATAATAGAATTTTATTTCCAGTCCTATTTTCTTTGAGGATTATTGTGCCGCACTTGTAATATAGTTTCCTGTAATGTAATAGTTGTCGCAACTATTTACTTCCCTAGGGAACTCTTTTTATCAGAGACACTGATCTTTAAACTGATCTATGATATCGATTACTTATTTTTCCGCTCGTATCCTAGACCCTAAAATATTGCAGATTCGTAATGCCCTCCTGTTAAAGTTCCACATGTTTCACATGTTTGTAGGCCAATTTCACCTGCCCCTGACCTCCCGCTATCTCACTGCCCATCTGTCATTTGTTGCGAACCCAATGCAAATTCTACCTGTCCACCAAGTGCAATTTAATCCTATTCAGCCCACTGTGCACTGTGGGCCATTACGTGCGATGCGTTTGCGTTTGCATTGCATAGTTTTGTTTACTCTGCCCCTCTCGCGCATCGATCGCATCTCGCTCTAGTTCCTTGGTTCTGTGTGCGTGCTCATTGAGTGCTCACTTACTCATTTACTCAACTACTCAGGGGCACCTACTCAGCCAGGTACTCAGCTACTCTCACTCACTCTGTTGAGCGCTTTTCAGCGGCACTTGCTGCTGGCTGAAAGGCGAAGAGAGCGATCAGTTTTTGAGTTGACTTCGAGCCGAGCGGACGCGCGTTGTCGTTCAGCGGATGAATAAAAAAGAAGAAATATCGCCTCGAAATAATTTAGAACAAGCAGTGTGGCACAATTTATCAAACGCGCTATCGCACCCCCCACTTGGATTACGGTCAACGCGAAACTACAACGGAGAAACACAAAGATATAGAAAAATCGAAATCGAAAGCAACCAAATCAAAGTATAAAAGAAAATAATAGCCAGCGGGAAAGAAAAAACAAGAAAATCGTTTTAGATAAAGCATTAAATCGTTGATGTGGTGTTGTGAAAAGTGGCGATTGTGCAAAGCTGCGCTATAAAACCAAACAAAAAAATCCAAAATAAACACAAAACACACAAAATGGGCGAGAAATAGAACGAGCAGTGAAAGACCAAAAGAAGCCCCCCATTAGCCCCCGAAACCACAAAACCGAATTCCCATTCGCAGTTTAGGATCGATCCAAAATGCTGGCCACCACCCACATGCTGTACGTGCTGATCGCCACCTGGGTGATCCCCATTTTCGGGGCGGCCCTCAGCAAGACGGTGTTGTACCAGGCCCCCGACGAGTGCCGCTGGTCCGGCGGCGGGGAGCATGACATCACCTTGGTCTGCCACCTGAGGACCATCAACTCGGAGCTGGAGAACACCAACTTCAGCGTGATCCAGCCGCAGAACACGGTTCGCCTGCGGCTGGAGTGCAACGATGCCCTCTTCTTCCAGAGCAGCCTGAGTCCGGACAGCTTCCGGTCCTTGGTGGAGCTCAGAGACCTCACCATCGAGTACTGCAAGCTGGGCAACATCACGGACGGATCTTTCCGTGGCCTCCAGGAACTGCGGAACCTCACCATTCGCACGCACAACGGCGACTGGTCCACCATGTCGCTGGAGATGGCCTCCAACAGTTTCGTGGAGTTCCGCCAGTTGGAGCGGCTGGACCTCAGTCTAAACAACATCTGGCTTATCCCCGATGGGATGGTGTGCCCCCTGAAGTCGCTGCAGCACCTGAATGCCTCCTACAACAAGATCCAGGACATCAGCAACTTCTACTTCAGTTCCTCGCTCAGCTCGAGGAAGGCCCGAGTGTGCGGCTCCACGCTGCAGAGTCTGGACCTGAGTGCCAACAAGATGGTAAGCCTACCCACGGCCATGTTATCGGCTCTGGGCCGACTGACCCATCTGAACATGGCCAGGAACAGCATGAGTTTCCTGGCCGATCGCGCCTTCGAGGGCCTCCTCTCGCTGAGGGTTGTGGACCTCTCGGCCAATCGGTTGACCTCCCTGCCGCCAGAACTCTTCGCGGAGACCAAGCAACTGCAGGAGATCTACCTGAGGAACAACTCCATCAACGTCTTGGCCCCCGGAATCTTCGGGGAACTGGCTGAGCTCTTGGTCCTCGACTTGGCCAGCAACGAACTCAATTCCCAGTGGATCAATGCCGCCACTTTTGTGGGTCTCAAGCGCCTAATGATGCTTGATTTGTCGGCCAACAAGATCAGTCGCCTGGAGGCGCACATCTTCAGGCCTCTGGCCAGTTTGCAGATCTTGAAACTGGAGGAGAACTACATCGATCAGCTGCCAGGAGGTATCTTTTCGGATCTCACCAATCTGCACACCCTGATCCTCTCGCGCAATCGCATCTCAGTCATCGAACAGCGAACTCTGCAGGGCCTGAACAATCTACTGGTATTGTCGCTGGACTTCAACAGGATTTCCCGGCTGGATCAGAGATCCCTGATCAACTGCACCCAGCTGCAGGATCTGCACTTGAACGACAATAAGCTGCAGGCTGTGCCCGAAGCTCTGGCCCATGTTCCGCTGCTCAAGACCCTCGATGTGGGCGAGAATTTGATCAGTCAGATTGAGAACACTAGCATCACCCAGCTGGAGAATCTGTATGGCCTCCGGATGACGGAGAACTCCCTTACCCACATCCGCCGTGGGGTTTTCGACCGGATGAGCTCCCTGCAGATCCTCAACCTGTCCCAAAACAAACTCAAGTCCATCGAGGCGGGTTCCCTGCAGAGGAACAGCCAGCTGCAGGCCATCCGACTGGATGGAAATCAGCTCAAGTCCATTGCTGGCCTGTTCACCGAGCTGCCCAACTTGGTGTGGCTGAATATCTCGGGCAATCGTCTGGAGAAATTCGACTACTCCCACATTCCCATCGGTCTGCAGTGGCTGGATGTGCGTGCCAATAGAATCACCCAGCTGGGCAACTACTTCGAGATCGAAAGCGAACTCAGCCTGAGTACCTTCGATGCCAGCTACAACATGCTGACCGAGATAACGGCCAGTTCGATTCCCAATAGTGTGGAGGTGCTCTACCTGAACGACAACCAGATTTCCAAGATCCAGCCGTATACGTTCTTCAAGAAGCCCAACTTGACGAGGGTGGATTTGGTGAGGAATCGGCTGACCACCTTGGAACCCAATGCTCTGCGCTTGTCGCCCATTGCCGAGGATCGGGAGATCCCTGAGTTCTACATCGGCCACAATGCCTACGAATGCGACTGCAATTTGGACTGGCTGCAGAAGGTGAACCGCGAGTCGCGCACTCAGCCGCAGTTGATGGACTTGGACCAGATCCACTGCCGACTGGCCTACGCCCGCGGATCCTCTCATGTCTCCCTGATCGAGGCCAAGTCGGATGACTTCCTCTGCAAATACGCCTCGCACTGCTTCGCCCTGTGTCACTGCTGCGATTTCCAGGCCTGCGACTGCAAAATGGAGTGTCCGGATAGGTGCTCCTGCTACCACGATCAGTCCTGGACCTCGAACGTGGTTGATTGCAGCCGGGCCTCCTACGAGCAGGCCCTGCCATCCCACATTCCCATGGATGCCACACAGCTGTATCTGGATGGCAATAATTTCCGGGAGCTGCAGAGCCACGCCTTCATTGGTCGCAAGAGGCTAAAGGTTCTGCATTTGAACCACTCCAGGATCGAGGTGCTGCACAACCGCACTTTCTACGGACTTTTGGAACTGGAGGTTCTTCAATTGCAGAGTAATCAGCTGAAAGTGCTCAATGGTAATGAGTTCCAGGGCTTGGATAACCTTCAGGAGCTGTACCTCCAGCACAATGCGATAGCAACCATCGATACACTCACCTTCACACACCTGTATCACCTGAAAATCCTGCGATTGGATCACAATGTCATCACCTCGTTTCCCGTCTGGAACTTCCTGCCCAGCTACCTAAACGAACTTCGACTGGCGGGAAATCCGTGGAGCTGCAACTGCGAGTTCATCGACAAACTGCGGGACTACATGAACCGCCACGAGTATGTGGTCGATAAGCTGAAGATGAAGTGCGATATGATCAGTGGAAACAGCACCCAGCAGATGGTCATATACCCGGGATCCGGAGAGGCTAGTTCCCTGCCCGTGGTGCAGTGCAGCCAGACTCTGCCGCTGGGCCTGGACAACAGCTTCAATTATGCCGAGCAGGCGGGTGGCGAGAATGCCTCGAATGCCACGTCCACTAAAATGATCCTGAACCAGCCGCCGAAGCAGGACTACATACCCATCCTGGTGGCCATTCTCACGGCCTTCATTTTCGTGATGATCTGCACCCTGCTGGTCTTCATTTTTCGCCAGGAGATGCGTGTGTGGTGCCACTCGAGGTTCGGAGTGCGCCTCTTTTACAATGCCCAAAAAGATGTGGATAAGAACGAGCGGGAGAAGCTGTTCGACGCCTTTGTTTCGTACTCCTCCAAGGATGAGTTGTTCGTCAACGAGGAACTGGCTCCCATGCTGGAGCTGGGTGAACATCGCTACAAGCTGTGCCTGCATCAGAGGGACTTTCCCGTGGGCGGATATCTGCCGGAAACCATAGTCCAGGCCATCGACAGCAGCAGGCGAACCATAATGGTGGTCAGCGAGAACTTCATCAAGTCGGAGTGGTGCAGATTCGAGTTCAAGTCGGCCCATCAATCGGTGCTGCGAGATCGTCGCCGTCGGTTGATAGTGATTGTGCTGGGCGAGGTGCCCCAGAAGGAACTCGACCCCGATCTGCGCTTGTATCTGAAGACCAACACGTATCTCCAGTGGGGCGACAAGTTGTTCTGGCAGAAGCTGCGATTCGCCCTACCGGATGTGTCCTCCTCGCAGCGATCCAACGTTGCCGGCCAGGGTTGCCATGTGCCGATCAACCATGCCGCTTACCACCTCCACCACCACGTCCACCAGCAGGCGATGCCCTTGCCCCACCCGGTGCACCACCACCAGCAGCAGTTCATGTTGCCGCCGCCACCGCAGCAGCCGGGCAGCTTCCGTCGGCAACCATCGTTGCACCAACAGCAGCAGCAGCAGCAACTGCAACAGCAGCAACTTCGCGGCAGCAACAGCGCCACGCAGCAGCAGCAGCAACAGCAGGCGGCCTTGCTGATGGGCGGTGGGTCGGTGGGTGGGCCTGCTCCGCAGATGATTCCCCTGGCGGGTGGCATCCAGCAGCAGAGCCTCCCATTGCCGCCGACTCAACCGACGCCGGCGTCTAGAAATCTGCACATGTGAGTGGGGTCACCATTGAGTAGCGGGGTCAAGGCAAGGTCAGGGGAGATGGAGTGTGGAGATGGCTATGTTCTCTGAGATATACAGGTTTTCAATACTTATTTCCCATGCACTTTCCATCTTACACTATTTTAACATAAATTAAAAGATTTAATTCGATTTCAAATCATTCTAAGCAAAAAAGAAGCTTAAAGCATTAAAGTGGTATTATTTTTTTTTCACTTGTTTTCTTAAAGTAGTTATTCCAATTTTAATATTTGCCATATCTCTCAAAAATTGTAATGTCAGTTAAAAATATTAGTAATTTAACTTCAAAAATTTTTCAATTTTTCAATTTTTCGGCAAGAATATTTATTTTATGGTAACCTCAAAGTTTTCTGCCCATTATAAATACCTATAAAAAAGAAAATATCACTGTCCCGACATTTGTACGATCTTGTTCAGTTATGAAAGGTGATCTAGAATATTTGCAGTCCGAAAATACTTACCCTCGCTGAAAACAAGTTTAACTTCCTCGGTTTTCAAACAAAAAGGGGGAATTGCATTCAATATGCAAATGCAAGCGTTTAGCGATAAAAGCCTAGTTACATGTTAAAATAGCAAAAGTAAAAGAAAAATCGAGTGGGGAAAGAACAGGCAACACCAGGAACAATAACAACAAGAAAAGACAACAGTAAAATAGCTGGCGAGCCAGGCAATTGTTGTTTGTTGGCCCTGTTCTGTTTTCTTACGGCCAGCTATTTTCAGTTTCCTGGCTCGCAGCTAGATTCTGAAAATTGATGTTGCATGCAACACACCAACAGCAACTAGCAAGCAGCAACTACACAGGGAAAATTTATATAATTTCTTCGAGATCTATTTAATTGTTTTTTTAATTTAAAATTAACTTAATTAAAAGAAGGTTAAAGAAAAAAAATCAGATTTGCAGATGAGCAATTTAAAATTACCTATGAGCTATATGTCTTGATATGATTTTAACAGATTCCAATCAAAGTATATCTTTTTTATAGAAATCTTATATCAGTGCTTAAATTATCGTATTTATTTCCCGTGTAGATCCAACACCAACCACTCAGTCAGGCAACAAAAGGCAGCAGGCCCAAAAGTATTTCTCTTGGCTTTATTTTTTTCTCCTTCTTCTCCTTTATTTTGTCGTTTTTCCAGCATTTTTTTTGTTATTTTGTTTTTCTGTTTTCCTTCGTTTTCTCCGTTTGCAACGTTCAGTCGTTAGTTCATCTTAACTGCTGCATTTTGCTATAACAAGCTCGACGTGTGTAGAAGATACACCCGTGTATCTGTATCTGCAGCAGCTGTAGTTCCATTCGCATTCGTATCTGTATCTGTGACTGCTCGGGTTGGGAAAAATAGGCAACGCAAAACATCACAGAGCTCATGTCTGGCCAAAAGGAAAAAGGTAACAAAAAGCAGACCTTAGACGTTAGAAAACCAAAAACCCAGACCCAGACCGTCTGCAGACAGTTGTTGTACGGGTTAAAATTGGTTTTGCTTTTTGTTACTTCTCTCTCCTTTTGAGCCACAATTACATGTGCTAATCAATGGCAGCAAAACAGATAGCTGGAGCAAGATGTTGTTGCCGAGCAACAATCGTGTGAGAAGGGAAACAATTGTAGGGGACTTAGCTCTGATAAATCGGACTTACATCCAACAATTAATGCCAGTTAATTGTATCCCGGCATAAGCAGATAGAGTGGTGGCCACAGAATTCCCCTATAATAGAGTCACTTCGGCAGATCACGCTATGCCTAGATTTGATTAGAAAACAAAGCTTTCTTTTTCCCTAGCTAGTCAGAGATTATGAAGAAGTAGTCAGAATTTCCCAGAGTGAAACTTCCCACTGTGACCTTGCTGCAGAAGAAAAGATACAAGTTTCCCCGGCAGCCATTGAAAAACCAAGGAAAAATAGTAGGAGAGAGATCAGCACGTGTGTGCCGAGTTTTTGGCCCCAAAGTTGTGTTTTAGCCGAAAATCGACAAGGCCAGAAAAGGAGGAACATGAGAACAGAGCCGTACAGATTAGTTTGGTCTTGGCGATTAAAATCTACCTGGTTGTGTGCAACGCCCTCTCCCTCTGTCCACCTATTTCTATTTCCGACTCTATCGCAGACAATCTCCAGCTCCACTGCCTTGTCAATTTAAAAATGCATTCCAAAAGCAAGAAACCAGAAAACTAGTTAACAAAGCAAACACACACTCTAGAAGGATTCGCATGGCTTAGACTGTAAAGCGTTAAATGTAAATAAGTTAAATGTTAATCGTACGTTTATTTGTTTAATCATTGTGATATTTTGTTTTAGCACTAAGCCCTAATTTATTAAGATGCGTACCATTTTCCTACCAACCTATGTTTAGACGTAAACTTATCCTCATTAGTTAGGCTAGTTTGTAAGCTAAAAAATCGAATCCGAATCCACAACCCCGCCTACGAGATACAGCCATATTAATTCTATGAAAATGATAAAATTATTGTACATAAAACAATTGAAAAAGGACTGTATGCACTAAAATGAAAAGAAAAACGAATTATGCAACACGAATCAAACAAATTGAAAACATAAATCGACTGATTACATGTGTACTATATATAAATATGCATAACATTTAATTATGATTTACTCGCCGCTTGTTGTAAATATTGTAACTACCCGCACACCTATGGATATGTATTTTATTTTGTAATTTTATGTTTTCTAGTTTATAGCGAAAAAAACGAAAAGAAAAAGCGAAACACAAAAATATATAAATGACAAAAAATTGATAATCCAAATACTGTCTCGATTTTTTATTCACTCCTCCCAAATTTTAGCTGGGCTGCAATTGTAATATTATTTTTTCGTCTGCCGCTGATAAGCCATAATCTATCTCGCCTTGACATTTGATATGGATTCTTGATGCGGATTCCAATGCCAGCAGTCGCTTTGCCCCCAGTGCGATTCAGTTTTGCTTTGGCTCTGGTTTTGTTTATGTCAGAGCGGTGTTCTATTACAATCGAAAAAAATTTGCAAGGTAAACACTAAAAGAGCTTGACCATTCCATGACAGATGGGGGAAAGGCGACGGAGAAAAGCGGGGAGATTTATGGCTAGAGGTTGGCTAAAAAATTCTCTTCGTCGTATAATAAAGTTGCTGAAATAACGGATAAATTAATTTTAGCTCCGCTTTTCAAAAGCGTGTACATTTATTTAGTGACCAGAATTTTTTACACTTATTGCTGAAGATGGATAACCTCAAAACATAAATGTTCATAGATCAAAAAAGAGAAAACTTGGGTTAAGTTGTAGGTAAGTTATATAGGTTTGTGGGACATTTTTGTAAAAATTAGTTTTACATCTATATTATAAGAAAATATCACGTTTATTCAGCCATTTCAATACAACTTAGTATTGAACAATTATTTGTTTGTTCCATTTAATTGATTTACATAAAACTAAAAAAGGAAGTATGTAACTGGTTATTAAAAAGATCATATTTCTGATTAAAATTTTTCATTGTGACCATATTATGGTATTTTACATTTATATTTCTCAAACCCCTTTAAGTTTATGCAAGTGCCTAGATTTTAGATTATGAATAGTCAACACTTTCTGGTATTCTCGAAAACTTTTCACATCAACCTCGCCACACGCATCCATCCGCACACTCATCGAACAACATCCCACGATTGCTCCATTTGAATTAATTTTAAACAAAAATGCCTTCGTATTTATGCTTGCCAAAGATGCGACGATATCTTCCCATGCATATTTTAAAGATATCTATATGGCGGTCGTATCTCATCTACGGAATTATTGGCTATCGTGTGTTTATACTCGCTGCTCACTGCCTTTATTTGAGTCAATGAGCCCACAGCGAAATATTTTGCCGATTCCGCTGGCTGCCTGGAAACAAGTTCTCCCAGCTCCCGATGAATGAATAATTTTTATGATCAATTAAATGCGCAATAAAATTGATGGGGCCCCCACCGCCGAAACATAAATTCACATTGCTTAAATTAGCGAATTTTACAATCAATCATTAGCGGGCCAGTGGATCGACAAACGGCCTTTGATGTGCAACTTTAGAACGGGGATAGGGATGCGGATGTGGATGCGGGGGAAATGGTATCTGGTGGATACACATATGTCTGTGGCCTAACCAGCGGAGAAGTTCAAGACCGGGCTAAACCCTTTTCAATATTTTCCCTTCCCCCTCCGCTCGATTCAGTGCGGTTCGGGGCGAAACAGAAAACGAAAACCTAGAAAACTTTGCAAAAAAACACGTCAAATATTAAAAACTTTTCTTTGCTTTTACTTTCTCCGAACCCGCTGGCATACATATGTACATATATACGGCCACATTCTCATCCACATCCCCACATATATCTCCCCTTTTTCCTTTATTTTATCAATTTTGCCTGTGGGATTTGTTACAAAGTAACGGATGAGTTGAAGTGGGAAAAGGGAAAGAGTGCAGACACCGCCAATCCAAGGGGCAAACTTTCAATTGAATTTTTTTGTTCACGTTGTTTCCTTTCGGTTAAGGAAAGTTTAGAGGCCCGTTTGGGGTCGGGGCTTCCTTTTTTCGGGGCTTGGGAAGCGGGGTCTTTGGGGGTTCCGTCTGTCATTTGGCATACGCAGCGAAAAGAAGTCGACGTAAATATTTCGGTTTACAAGTCAGTTTAGTGTCAAAAGAGATGCCTTTTATTTATAGATTGCCCTCGCAGAGCTTGGGTTTAACTTGGCTAAAACAGGGGTGCTATCCTAATTTAGGGAGGGTAAAAATGGCTTAAATCAATATGCCAGGTTGCTGTGAAATATTCATATTTTCACAGTGTAATAAATTAATACAATAGGTAATTAATGATGAATAGTTTTTTTCTGTATAAAAAGGTAATATCTTTTTTCTTTTTACAAAATGATTGAATTTGGTTTAGAATCTATTAGCAAAAAAATTTTAAAACTGGTTTAACTTATTGCAATTCTTAAATTTACTAAAGGCAGAACTAGCCGTTTTAAGAAAGTTCATCTCCTTTCAACATTTAAATCCATACAATTTTTTCACACATCTCTGGCAAAACCCTTTGATCCACCGAACCGCTCCTGTGACCCATTTTCGACACAGGTTTGCTTCTTGGCCGAAAACCTCCATCAAAAATTTCCCTGACTGCAGTTTAGAAGTTTTTATTCGCTCTCGCATTTTCCGACTTGTTTTTTCTTGCCTTTTTCGGGCCCAAAGTCAAATCAAAGTGCTTGGCCCCCGCTAAAGCTTAGTGCTAATGCCGGAGCCATCAGTCTGAACTTTTGGGCCATCTATCAAAGGTTGAAAGGGAAAGGAAAAAGGAAAATCGAAGCGGCAAACTCATTAGAAGGCCGCCGCATCGGCACATTCCGAATATGCGAAGCCAGAAATATTTTCCCATGTGCAGCCGCCGAGGAGCCGTCAATTAGGTAGCCACCCAATCATTGCACCCACCACTTGGCTCATTAGACTCCAAACGAATCGGGAGCCATAAAAGTCGGGTCGCCGGTCTTTTCCTCGGTTTCTGGTCCCCGATCTCTGCGCTCTGCGCTCCGCGGCGGAGCTATGTATAAATAAATATGCTTTTATTGGAAGACGACTACAACTGTTTGCAATAAAAGCAACATTTTTCTTAATTTCCATTTCTTGCTAATTTACCAGCCATAAATTGCCCGCCCGTCTACCCTGTGGGCAGTGAAGTAACCAGTGGCGGGGTAGGGGATTGCAGGGATGTGCAGGGGTTACCGAAACAAGCGGAGCTGAACCAACCGATTCGACGGTAGACACATAAAATTGACTACAAATTATTGCACATTGTCAAAACAACATTGGTTTGCAATTTTCGCGCTTCAACGCAGATGCAAAGAGATAGTCGCAGGCGATTTTAAGAGGGGGAGAGTGAGGGGCATGGCAGAAGTAATGCCTACGAGTCGGAGGGATAGAGAGAGACGGAGTGAGAGGTATAAAACAATCATCTGGGGGAGTTCGTTATGTGGCAATACTCTTTGAACTAGGGGTATATATTTAACTTGGTGCAGATTTGTTCATTTTCTGAAAAAATTGTGTTTATTCTGCGAAGTTAGAAACTAAAAAGCCATAAAAACGTTTAATAGAATTTTACTTTATATGTCTTTAACAATAGATGTACTAATTATGGTTTATTATCTAGCATTTATATAATATCAACTATAGTTTTCATCTCATAGTAGCATTGGAAATTATAAAATTTTAAATTAGCCTTTAAATATTTTTAGAGCTTTAAAATGTTAAAAATCTAATAACTGTTTTAATATAGGTGTTTTACATTTAATTTAACAACATTTTTGAAGTTTTCAACGTTTTCATGATTGAATAACAATTGATTATTTCCTTATAAACAGCATTCTAGTGTTAAAGATTTTGTGCCATAGAGCATTCACCGATCGGTTCAATCCTTTCGGGCACACCAATTTTTTACAGTTACCTACGATAATTTGCGCTGCAAACGGTCATATGCAACTGTGAAATGGCAAATGGAAAATGGGTTTAGGATTATTGCCGACGACCAACCCCCTCATTATCGTCATCAACCACGTCGAAATCCGAAAGAGAATCGAGTGGGGCAAATCGGGCGGAATGGAGGTGCGGAGAGTTCGGATACATACGGATACAGACGGAGTGGAGACATTGACATATTGCCAGCCGATTAATGAGCCCACAAGAGCGGCCCTGGACCTGGGCAGTGCTGATTGTTTTCATTGAAATAAATGACAGACACCGGACTGTTGACACACGCGTTGAGGGAATATTTGATACCCTGCATAAATAATAATCATTTTCACTCCGCCCCAGAGTGCCATGCCCTCGGCCGCTGACTCCGCATAAAAGCAAATTTGTATGCAGTTTATCTTATCGCGATCACGTTGCATCTGAAGACGCTGCTGCGAAGAAGTGAGGGGAAAAGTCGTCGAAGACGCGTAAGTTTCACGTATTTTCATGCACGATTAAAGCCTTAATTTCGAGAGAATATATATGTGCACATATACATATATACGGTGAGCGAGAGGGACGACTTCCACAGGTACCAGGTATCTGCAGCTCCTAATTAATGGTTTTGCATCGGCTGCTTATCGCACCGCACGCATCGGGATCCTCTTCGTCCTGGTCATCGGAGGGGGGGCATCATCAGTGCACTTGGAAAAAATATTTAGTAAATTTTAAAATAATATATACTAGCAGTATAACTAATTTAATATGTGATTAATAAGCCAGAATTGAATTAAAGGTCTTAAAAGTACTGATATAACTCAATCTATTCCGTTAAAGCTGTATATATTTATGGAATTATTTTAATATATTATTTATTAGACCATTTCTATATTATGTTTGTATTTTTAAATATTATTTGACATGGTCTGAGATTAATTTACTCGTGTTCATTAATTCATCTCATCTCATTTCTTAATTAACTATTTGTATTGAAATATTCATATTTTCATTGACGTATTGATTGATATACTCTTAATTTAAGATCGTGTTTTCTTTTCATCGCCATTTCTTTATGCAAATATATACAAGATAAAATGTATTTAATCTGATTTTCAAACAACCCGAAGTGGTTTCTTTATTTATGTTAAACAGCATCAATCTTTAACAAGCGTGAAAGCTGTGTTGACAAAGCTCATACATTTTTAATTTTTGCAAAATTTATTTGACAGGTTGATTAAATTAAAAAAAAATTGGTTGGACTAGTTTAAGAGCTTAA